CAAGTGGTCAAATTAAAAAATTCGGACCAGTCGCTATTGTTTTTGAGTTTTCAGGTTTCTATAGAAGTATTGTCACTTTTTTGGGACTTTTCATTGTTTTTGTCTCTGTACTATCTATTTTGTTTTTCTTCAGACCTAAGTTTCCTGAAAAGTAGACATTGAAAGCTGTTTAATTGAAAATTTGAATTTTTTTTCAACCTAGACTGTAAAACATTGTTCAATAACCTTTGTTCAGTACATAAAGCTTGTGTATGGGATTTTGTTGTTTCAATACCTACATGCGTGTAAGTCATTAACCTTTTTTTTATCCTAAATTCGGTCAAACTATTATTTTCTTTGTTTCTAGATGTAAATCAGCTAACAATTGCAAGGATGGATAGTATCATGCATATTCATGATGTGCATGTTTTGATTTTTATAGATAATTTTATGTTGTTATGTAGTTTTTTATTTGTACGTATAAATATTGCAGTAAATTCAAAATGCGATGCAGTGATTTATTTACTTTCTTTGTAATTCAATTTTTTTTCTCAAAAAATTTGATTTTTCGAAGGTTCAGTAGGTTTCAGCACAGTTTCTGCTGGATGAAACACTCTTTTAAAAAAAGATCCTCTAATAAATTAGTTAACAAGTGAAACTATATCAATTTTTATCGTGTTTTGAATTTTTTTGAAAAACTTTAAAATTTTTTGATACAAAATCTATTATTTTGCGCAAAAACTCTTACCATTGACTTACCATGAACAAGTAAACATAATATAATACTTTCATTCCACAATGTACACGTAATACACCAATGATATTGACCAATTAGGTAACGCGCGCCGTGATTTTTGCGAAAATCCAGACATTTCCACACAAAACAAAAAAACTGTTTTTCTTACCACTCTCTTACCATCTCACAAACCATAAAACCTTGCCAATTCAATTCTTTCCCTATCTTGATACATTGGCAAATCCGCACCCAAACCAAACACCCCCCCCCCCCCGCCCCCCCCCCCCGGCTACCACAACATATACTACAAAGAGATCTTATAAACATATACAAATACTTTTTACTTTTGCCAAGATAGACTTATGAGTATACCTTAAAAACACGATGTCTCAACTAACCCTAATGCAAGTCATACATTTTCTGCTGCGGCAAGTTTTTGTAACTTCAACTCTGTATTTTTCTGGAACATTACAATTTTTGAAATTTTTTTAAATCGATGAGTGATGCATGTATGCGGGAATGTTACCGGAAACCAAACTTGCTTATTTAGAAGGAGAAATCCTAAAATCTATCCACACTGATAGCAATCGCGGAAGCTGTCGCATCAATCAAAAAAGGTTTTGTTCACCAATAGTTTGGGTGGTTCCCACAATATCTTTTAGTTATTTGTTAAGCAAAACAGCAGATTTGAATAAGAAACAAAAATTGGTTTATATAGCGTCCAAATTCATAAAAACGCATAAAAACACTCTTGGCCTCAAACACGCTTGGCCCTAAAACTTTCTCAAAGCGCCTTTGGCGTCAAAAATTACTGTTTTTGAGGGTGGGATGCTAAAATTTTCTAACTATACTAAATTTGTATCACAGGGGACATTAATGTTTTGAAAGATCTCGGAAAAAGTCATTTTCTTAAAAAATCATATAATCGAGACTGATATAACTAAAAGGGAAAAAAATACTATTGAAACGTTTTATTTTTGCCTTTACCTGAACCAGCCTGTTCTAAGGTTCGATATGCCGTTTGGTCCGAATTGTCGCAGGAATATGTACTAAAGAATTAAATGTCATGGAAACGTTGGATCAACAGAAGTTGTTACCTTCAATTCCTCGGACGAAACTCAGTGTGTCCAGGAGCAGTCCTAGGAGGATACTCGTTCCACTGGAATAAAAGAATGCATTGGAAAGATGCAAAAAACTTCTGTGCGGTTTGGTCAAGTTCAAGCAGACAGGCTTAAAAGCTATAGATATGCATAGACTTTTGAACGAGCAGCTCAGAGCTCGAAAAAGAAAGTGATTTTTTTTCTCTGGAGCAGTTGATCAAAACTTCTTATCTTGAAATTTCTACATGTTGATCAAAACTTCTTATCTTATTATTTCTACATGTGAAAAACCTCTTGTCATACAATAGTGAAAAATGTGAAAAATAAAAAGCAAATAATTCTAAGACATATTAAATTATAATACATCTATGACAATTAACCTTGCATACTTGAAAACTCTATGACTAGCTTTTTCCTTGATTAAAAAATTATTATTATTCATCAAAGCTTAGCTATTTTTTGTGTTTTGATCAAAAGTACGGTAACCAAGAATTTTCTAAAACAAAAAAAATCAAGTGGCCGAAGGGAACAACTTTAACAGACATCGTTTTTTCTCGATTTTTTGTGTGATATAAAATTATGAGTGTTATATGAGTTTTCTCAGAGCTATGCCCGGGTTGACCTCCATACACCGAAAATGCTTATCATACAATTCCATACATTAAGTGTGTGGGAAAATGCTTGTCATACAATTTTCATACAATTTCTAAAAATGGTTGAAAACTGGTATAAACTCGTTTCTGTGGCTGTTTGATTCTAATAAAACAGTCTGGTGATAAAAACTGAGGTTTTCGTTTTTTGAAAAAAAATGCTGATCATACAATTCCCATATATGGAAATTGTATGACTGGCATTTTTTTTTGATGGCGACACAAAGTAATTTTGAAAATTTGGCCCAAAAATTTTTTTGTTTTTTTTTTCAACCGCAAATCGAATTTCGTACGCAAACAAACGTTTTTCGAAAAAATTTTTTTTGCATGCAAAATTGAATATTTTGTGTGCATAACGTAGTCCAGGATACGATAAAGTTGGCTTTTATTTTCTTTTCACTAATATATTTTTTTCAAAAACGCGGAAATATCCTATTTCTTCTGTATGGGGTGTTTATGTATGCCTTGATCAATGTCTCATAATTTGAAAATTCAAAAATTTAAAATAATCATCATTAAAAAATTCTGCCAAAAAATAAATGTTTGTTAATTTTGTTATATCAATTGTAAAAGACATTTGAGTAACCTTTGGTGTTTTGAGTAACCAAGGTCTGTGTCACTTGTGTTCGGTTGCAACTACAACCGAAAATTTTTCTGAAACTAAATTTAAAAAGAAAAAAATCAAAATTTTTTGTTTATGGAAAAACACACTATCATACAATATTCATAAATGGAAAAATGCTTATCATAGAGTTTTCATACAATTTTCTGTACGTATGGAATTGTATGAAATTGTATGACAAGAAGTTTTGGTCAACCCGGGTGAGTAAGAACCTTACATTTTAATTTGTAGCTTGAAAATTGTTTGTCGAAACCTGAATTTTTCGATAGATTAAAGATTAAAGTATATCAAAACATATAAAAAGCATAACAACCTCAAATTCAGACACGTACAAGAACAATGTCATTTTTTTTGTTTGAAAAACTCAGCCAGCCTTTATTTATGAACAAAATTCGCAAATAATGTTTAGTTGAGCATAAAAATTATATTGCGACTATAAATTTTGAAAATTTCCTCAGAATTTGCGTCAGTTTCTACTTCAAATAGAGTGTGTTGGAATGATTTTGAAAACGTTTTTAATGTATTTAATTGGTAATTGGAAAACCCAGGGCTTTGCCCTGATACGAGCAGTCTTGTTAGACATTAGTTTACAAAAACAAGCAGTGCAACAGGAAAAGAAACAATTTATAACGAAAAAACAGCATTTAGGATTCAACTGGTGTTTTTTCAAGTTAGCATATTCGTCAAGAAAACTGCTCATCGTCAAAGTCGTCCTATATGCTCGTCGTCCTAAATGTTCCGACTGCCTTTTCACTTGTTTCTGTTTTGGTAAACACAATTTTGACAAACAATGAACTTTAGGCTAAAAAAAATCCAAATCAGACTTGAAATGTTAAAATTTGAGTTGTAAAGGGGATGAATGAAACAAATTAGTTTGCCCTAGTTCATTTCGGGACAATTTTATTTGCAGGATAATTCGCCACCTCTAAATTATTCGCATGTTATAATTTCAGCAATAAAACATAAAAAGAGCAGCTAAGGTTGACATCTTTCTCGTCATCTGATAGTCCGGATAACTTAGTGGTTTTATGCGCCCGTTTGAGCCCACTTATATCCATAAATAAAGCCCCTAACAAAGCAAATAATTTTTATATAAATTACTCGGAGCAAAAAACTACCCCAAAACTGTATATTCCTCACATTCTTCGAAAATCGGGAGAAAAAAACAGACGAACGTTTAAAGATGATTTTGCTGTTTTAATAAGTCTATAGTTCTACTGATAACGAAAAATTACGCGAAGTTTTATTTAGGACGATTATGTGTTGGTTTCTCATCAAAATTATAAAAAATAAAGTAAGATTTTACTTACTCACTGCGCCCATGGGTAACTGCAGTCTGCTTAAATTTGCCAAATTAGACCCGAGGTGGTCTACTTTTTTGGAACATAAACAAAATTGCCAGTGAGGTAAAGTTTTTCTCTCAGAAATTGAAAAAAAAAATCTTTTCTGGGTTGGAGTTTCAGATAGAGTGAAAGAAGGCTAATGGAAAAATGTCAAAAATGGAATCGTGACATCGAAGATAGTTTGCGCTCCGGGAAAACCTACCAGGAATCGAAGTTTGAATATCCTCAAACTCAATAGTCAGAAGGTTGACTCAACTGCCAATAAAAAAAACAGGACATTAATGGCGTCCATAACAAGCTTAGATTTGATTGCGAGTATGAATTTTAAAACACCTTAATTAATCCAAAAAAACCAGTGCGACTGTAAATGTTTCTCGAAAGAGGTGAATCTTCAAAAAGAGTTGAAATCTTTCCTATGTTACACCAACTCAAAAAAGGAATTGAGAAGAAAACTGCAGTCAAAGTCTTAGCTCTGTACAAAACTTGTCTCAATTCGCAATTAATTGGGTTTTTGGAATAAAAGGCCGAAAAGAAGATGGCAGAAAAGTTTCGCCGATTTCTGATGATATAATTTAATAAGTTAGGATTTTTTTTCATTCACGCTTTTGCGAATTAACGAAATTTCACTGCCTTTCGTACTGAACAAGCTGCTATAGTGCTGAAGTAAAACAACGGGTTGAAATTTTATCTCATCTTTTTAATGGACAACGTTAACCAAATTTGAGAGACTAAAACTTTTTCGTTGTCCAAGAATCAAAAAATACTTTCTTTTGACTTTAAAATTACATGTAGTATAAATTTCTAATTGTACCAAAAGTTGGAAAACTTCAGTCAATTCAACACAAAGGTTTGAAAATCAAAAAATTCTTTCAAAAAAGTAATATTTGGTTCTAAAGCAAATAAATTTAACAGACTTGAAAGCTTTTTGGTAATACCACGCATGATAACTTTAAATTGAAAACGCGGGCTGTCGTAAGTAACAGAGCGATGCTACGGCATCCTACGAAACAGACAACAAAAGAAAGGTCAACTAACACTACATGTACTCGTGCAGTTTCTAAAAGATGCTCTCTAATTTTCAATTCTCTGGTTACTTAAGCGAACTAATCTAAAAAGCTTCCAGCTTACTTCCAGCTTACTTCGCCTTTTGCAGAAACGCATAGCGGCTTCTACAGCTGACTCTACCTAGCTCACCTTCGCTTCTGCTGGTCGCCTTCGAGCTTCCCTTGTGTTTCGCTGAAACAAACAGCCGCTTGTATAGCAAGCCCCGTCTTGCCAGCCCCCTTCTTGTTACACCGAAACACTTTGCTATTTCAAAGCTAGACTTTTAAAGCCAAGTTTCAATCATCTGAGACTTTTAAAGCTGATAAGCAAAAAAGCACTTTGAAAAAGCTCATCAACCAATGGAATTACAAATATCGTTCCAGTGAAGAACTTGAACGGCAACTGACAGGGGAAGTCTTTAATTATTCAGCAGATGTTAAGGATGTTCAGTTGACCCTCAGTGAATTAGTTTTTTGTATCACAGAAATTGAAAAATTGTCTGATGAACTGGCAGCGTTTTCTTCCGTGGAAGCAATAGATTGTCTTGAAAGAACCTCTTTGTTACGCAGTCGAATTTTCAACGTTTAAAAGAAAGTCAAAATTACGAAAAACTTTTGAGTTACAAGGCGACTACGATCGCCCTTCTGTCCGTAGCACTAACACTGTTCTCAACCAGCAGACATTGCTGGCATCAGCAACTCCAGTTTGTAGCTCCCCAATTTGTTTTCAGCTTCAGCAGTGCCCACAAGATTTTTGACAGCTAGCACCTCAAACAGTCCTGTCATGACATAAAACTTCTGGTGCATCTACTAGAGTGGTTTTCATCGATTTCCAACTCTATGACCAACATCACTCTACGAATCTTATGGAAATGAGTTACAGCCATAATTCACCTCTCGTTACTCCGAGAAAATCTTCTGGTTTTGTGCTATGAGATCAACCAACAAAGTTGTCCAGTAAAACTTTTCGTGACATCACGGTATTAGGACCTTCTGAATCATCTTCGCATTCAGTTACTTTACCAGATAGGATCAACAGTAACCCCTTTGAGGTTCCTTCACCCGAGCAACCATTTTTCACGCAAAACAACAGTTTTGCCGCTAACATCAGATTATTCTATGACAACAAATCAACGGGATAACTTCGTATTCAGAGACATTAGTTATGATCTACATTTGGACCCACCTGATCAAGATCTGAGCAAATGTCATTACAGTCAACCGGCTTATCTCGCAACCACTGAGATTTCAGGCAATTAAAACGCCTATCGCTTAAAAGGTTCTAAACTCCCGGAGTTCTGATTGTCCAAATATGATCGTGATCTTCTCGAATAACTGGTTTGCGTTGTTCCAAAATGCAATTGGCAACAATCCACGAACTGGTCCGATTGAAAAATTAACGTAATTGCAATCTTTTTGCATTGGAGACGCCAATTGCTTGTTGAAATTTTTGGTACAAACTCCAGTCAGTACAACCAAGCAATTACTAAACTTACCAGACAATTTGGAGATCCCAAATTCATAGTATCAGCTTTCATCAAGCAACTCGAGGATTTCGAACAATACCATATGCGCAATCCAAATACTTTCGTGAAATACTCAGCTTTTCTACAAAAAATGTTCATAACTTTCAGACAAATAATTATGACGCAGATCTTGCGTCGAGCAACCTCTGAAAAACAGCTCGGAAAAAATTTCCTCCTGGCTTTTTCATGAAATGGGAGGAGTTTTGCATCTCTCACGGTATAGGTTACCTCAATTTGATCGATTTCTGTGATTGGCTGAACAATTATACAAAAACTTCTGAAAACTTAGATACTTTACCGGCAGGATCTATATACCGGAGGATCTTAAGAAAAAGATCAATTCAAAAACAACAAGTATTGAAACCTCAGAAAGGAAACAAAACTTTCATCTCAGCCCAACGGAAAACCAACTCGATTCAAATTGTCTGCCCAGAGTTCCTAAAACTCTCAGTTGATGAAAGAAACGAGCAGGTCAAACAACTTTAGCTCTGCTTCAACTGATAACTGTGGCAGAAAACACCACTTAAGCTTACATCGACGAAAACGAAAGGCTGTTTCAGATAAAACGCCAGTTCTTCAACGATCAAACATCGTCAGTGCTGATACCCATATTGTTGCAAACCCACTTAGTAATGATGCGTTGAACCCGGAGGGAGTCTGCCATCAAAGAAATAACTGCAGTTTATGCCCGTCCCTCTTTTCAATGAAAACAAACTAGATAGGTGTTACGGAATTTTAAGCAATTGCAGCAGTTGTGCGTACATCTGCAAAGTAACAACAGACGTGCTACAAGGTATTCCAAAGCAGACAATTGACTTGAACAGGCAAGGCGCTTTTTCCAAAGATACACTGCGCACTTCACTTGAGAACTTGAGCATCAGAAGCTTTGAATCTGATTGTTCTCTTTTTACACTGCCAGTTTAGTACTCGGTCGGTTGATGAACCGTCGTTTGACATAGTCAACGTACCACAACTTAACAAAACAAGCGCTCAATTCAACCATTTGAGCCAAATTAATTTTCCTTCATTCGAGGACAACAAGGATCAATTTTTACTCGGAGTGGCTGCTTTTTGGTTCATTGTCGAGCGTTACATCAAAAAGGGACCCATTAGCAGTCCTTACGCAATTCGGAACTCACTGGGTTGGACTATAACGGGCCCGATAAAACATAAACTTCTTCGGAATGAAACTCCACATCATTCAACTAATTTCTTTGATATTTAACAATTCAAGCCTAAGTTAAGTGAGTTAGTCAAAAATTTTGGACTTTTGAAAGGTCGGGTATCCGCTCAGAACCAACATCACGCGGTACTCTGCAAAAAATGAAAAGCTCCTCTATTTTATGCAAATTGGTATCGTTCGTGATGGAGTTAGATATCCCATCAACCTCTTGTGGAAAGATAACGTCTTTCTACCGCTAAAGTAATCACTACGTAATCGCTAAAAGGCAATTAAATTCTCTGCAGCGCCGACTACAGAAAAATCTTGTCATGTTAGATCTTTAAAGAAAGTCGCTGAAAAGCGTAATTGACTAAGGCTACCTTTAACCGGTAAACTTCTTGTCTCCACAGCCTGCAAATATTTGGTACCTTCCTCATCAACCGGTTACCAACCCGAATAAACCTGGGAAGGTAAGACATGTTTCCAATGCAGCTTCCAAGTTCAAAGGCTTATCGTTAAACTCATGTCTTGTGCCAGGTCCTGAACTCCTTAACAATATGTTCGGAATCTTGCTGCGCTTTAGAGAAAACTCTATAGCAGTTTTGGCAGACAAAGAAGGCATGTATTGCAAATTGGAATGAAAGAACAAGATCGAAACGTTTCAAGCTTTCGGTGGCCGTCGGAGAAGGGTGTAAATCAATATCAATACAAACGAATACTGATATTCGGTGGTAAGTGCACTCACTCCTTTGCGGTTTTCGCCTTGCTGCAGAAAGGAAAAAATTACTGCGTACATCAACCTGAAATTTTTAATCTCACCAACGAAAGCTTCTATATGGATTATTTAGTCCACTCTTTTCAGTCTGCGACAGTGGCTGAAATTTCAGTTTTGGCTCTTAAATCTTAATTATATAAGGGTGATTTCAATCTGACTTAAATCGATTCAAATAGTTCTGAAGCTCTTCATTTGATTGCTGATACCGAATAGATCAACAAAGAAACAACTCAAAAAGTTCTAGGCGTTAATTGGAACAGTGCTGAAGACATTCTTTTTGTAAAACCGAAGGTGGAATCCAAATATTACTCTACAAAATTGACACTGCGTAAATTCTTGTCTTCTGTTGCAACACTATTCGACCCACCTGGTTTTCTCGCGCTTTTTGTGATTACTTTCAAATTCTCTTCCAGGAAAACTGGAGTTCAGGATGGCATGGGATGACTAAATTCCTGGTCAAAACACTCCAGTCATCAAAAATGACTGACTCAATATTGGTAAAAAATTTCTCGTTTCATGGTAATTCCTACGTCTTTTCCGTCCCTACAGTTACATCTTTTCAGAGACGCCTCCCAAAGCGCAATGGCTGCTTGTGTCTACCTTCGAGCTGAAGAAGTTTTTCATACTCACGCAAACTTTATCATTGCTCATACGAAAGTAGCTCCTCAGAAACAAGAGAGTATTAAAAGTTACAACTCTTTTAGGAGCCCGGCTTCATAAGCTCGATGTGAAAGAAACAAGGTTTAAATTTCAGAACATTCAGTATACTGGACTGATAGCACAGCCGTCCTTGCCTGGATGAAATCCAGCTCAGAACAGAAATCATTCTGTGCTAATTGCAAAAACTATATCCTCTCTTTATCGAATTTGGATCAATGCGACAACATTCTAGGTAAGATGAATCCAGAATATCATTGAACCCGATTCTACTCGTTTGGCTTCGCTTTTTCCGTGTTGCAACACGAGTAGTGCAATTCTGCTCTATACGTTTAACACGAGAAAACTGGAACCCCGACAATCAAATATCGTGAAAAAAAAGCTAAAGCGTTGCTGTTTGCTCAATCACAGCA